TATAACTAATCACCATCTTGTCATTTTTGTTTTTTAGTTCTTTTTCTAAGTTTCGCTCTTTTCTGCACACTTTAATTGAAAGTAAAGGAAGGCACTGTGATATGCAGCTCTTGTTTTCCAGCTGTGGTCAACAGAATAATGCTGAGCAAACCAAAAACATTGGTCAGTAGGCATATGGGTGAATCACTTTAAGAGGATATATGGCCAGTTCTGATCCAAATGTGCGAAACCAAAAGGGCAAAATCACCACCACAAACTCAGCAACAAGATAGAAGTATTATTATATGGCACTATTAATCTGAGAATGAGCCTAATACAATTCTGGCACTGGAAGTAAATAAACCTAGCCTGTCTTTTTGAGCCCCATTTGATTTTGTAATAAGATGACTTTATCTATTTCCTGTAAATTACAAAATTATACTTATTGAATATTCATTTTTTTAAAGCACTAAATATTTTGTTTTGTCTCAGACTAACAAAATGGGTTCCAAATTTAGTATGGAAAAGCAGAAAAATAAAACATCAACACACACATAAAAAAAGACAAACTCTGAAAATACCTGCCACACTATGAGATGAATAATTCTACTTTTAAAATTAAAGTCATTTTTAACATTTAACCTTGAAGGGATGTCAATTCTTTAAACTATAAGATAATCAAAATTATTTTGTAGATTTCTAAATAGTAATACCTTAAAATTTAATACAGTATTTTACATTCTCATAAGTACATTCTCTTTCTAAAAGAGTATACATCTCATTTCTGATGTTAAATGTGATTTCCATGCCTGAAAGAGAAAGGTAACAGAATGTTATGTACCTTTTATACAATTCAGCTAATTCACAGAAACATTTAAAAAATTTAAAGCAAGAATAATTTTTAAATATCATCACGGCCCAACTCTTTCATCTTATTTTTTACATACAAAGAAACTGAAGCAATGAAATTAAAGTCATGTTAAGTACTAAACCAGTATTCTAGCCCAGAGATTTTCCCACAGTATTATGGCATCTTTTAAAATACAAACTATAGATACATAACATCTCTCAGTTCTACCCCCCCCAGTAGTTGTGCAATCTAGTGCAACTTATCTAACTTTAGTTTTCTCATTTATAAAAGAGGGAAAATAGTTTGTACCTCAGAAGTTTATTCTGAAATTGCCTCAAGTTGATATACTCCTTAGGGGGGGAAAAAATCACTTGAACATGCCTAATACAATTTACCATTAATATTTTAAATCAAGTGTACTTAAAATTTTTACATACTAAACATATCTATAGGTATTTAATAAATGCCCTGGGGATGAAATTAAATAAGCAAATGCAAGAAATCACTTCTGTGGTTTATTTGTATCCTAAGTAAATATGTATATATAATCACATTTTATTATTTTCATATTTCAGTTCTAAAGTAACTGTGTTAGAATAGTTCACTCAAGTTTTTTTAATATCTCATATAAACATAAATTTTTAAATAACACACCATTCAACTAACTAAAATTTTCATTTCGTTTGTGCGTTTGTTTGCAGAGTGACTGCTATATCAAACCGTGATACCCTACTAAGACAACAGGTAAATTCAATCTTTTAAGTGGTTCTAACACACACCCCTAGCTATCCAATTTCCTGAGAACACCAGGAATTGTGTTTAACACTATTTATACACAGGTACAATCTAAAAATTGTTCTCAATATATGATTTCTCTTTCCAAAAGCTCACTTTCTACTGTTTCAACTGAAAAGCTCAAAGCTTAAAAATATTTAAATATAAACCCGTTACTCTTAATCTTATCATTCTCTCAACAGAAAGTGGTAGATTTCTGTACAATACCTTGATATAAACATGAAGCTGATCAGCCTAAGTTCCAGCTGTAACAACCACTTTGATATATGATGGCTTCAAATAGCAATAATGATTACTTTATTCACAAATCTGCAATTTGGGCAGGGCTCAGCAAGGAAATCTAGTCTACACTCCATGTAACATCAGCTGAGGCTGCTCAACTTGGAATAGCAAACTGTTCACTATTAGCTGAGAGTTTAGCCAGAGTGAGGGCCAAGGGCTTCGGTATTTTGAAAGGGCTGATAGATTCCAAGTGAGTATCAAAAGAGGACTCAGCATATTATCTTTTGTGACCTTCCTTGACAATAACCACATGGTATCTGCTGTAATCATAGATCCAGATTCAAGAAATACACACAGACCCAATCGCTTTATGAGACGGAGTGTTATTCACACTGTAGGATAGCAGATCTTGTCGTGGACATCAGAAAAACCTAACTTTCTGTGCTGTAATTCTCTCCTATCATATCTCTTATCATTTTTCCTCAGTCTACATTGAAAGGCTTTTCTTCACTGATACTGTTTTGTCCTCTTCTTAATCCATTTAAATTGAAAGTGGGGCTGCCAACTAATTTTAAAAAATAGCAACCATTGTTTTAATTACATGCTTCTATGCAGTTTATTAAGGTAATTTTAAAAAAAAAGTTTCCTGTTTTATAAGTGAGAAAACTGAAGAGCAAGACCCCACAACTGAGGAATGGAGCTGAGATGTCATCCATTCCCTAGTCTAAATTAACCAAAGTAATATTTAAACTGCCATGTAACTAGCCGAGTTACTAATCTATATTTGAAACTGCCTCCTGAATTTCTTCACTAGGAAATCTTGTTAAAAACTTAGACTTGGGCTGGGGATTTAGCTTAGCCACATAAGTGCCTGCCTGGCAAGCACAAGGTTGTGAGTTCAATCCCCGGCACCAAAAAATAAAAAAATAAAACTGACTTACTGTATATACTTTTAAAAATGTATACATTTTTCCTTTTCCCTGAATGAGTCTTTCCAAATTTCCCTGCCACAGTATTATACTGTCAGGGATCTACTGTCCAAAGTTTACCAACTTGGAACTAATTTAACTCCTCAGTAAAACTAACTTTTTTTGATTCTACTTTCAAAATGTCTTCCCAATTGTCCTGTCTTCTTTGTCCCATTAAATTAGGCTAGGATTTCACCTGCTTAATCAATCAACAGATAATTCTTGAACAATTACCATATGACAAGAACTATGCCAGTCTGCCCATGACCCGTTTCCCAAGCTAACAATTTGTTCTCCACTGACAGCCATTTTTCACATCAATATTAAAATTACCTGCTTCACATGAACACTCCCTAAAAAGCCAGGTGAGTCCTACTATGGACTGCCAAAAGGTTTCTCGAAACTTCCTCAAACCCCTGTCATCTCAATGTCTCGCTTTCCCTATTCCTAAAATAAGCATTTATACTTCCTGTATCTTCTAAGTACAGCTCACCTTATAAACTGGATTTATCTTCTGTCTCTGCCTTGGATGCCCTTCTCCTGCTTGAAAAGTTTCTACTCATCCATTAACATTCAATTTATATGTCATTCTACATGAAACTTTTTCTAATTATCACAGGAAGAGATTTCATACTCTCACTGCACTGTATCATTGGTAAATATATTTGTCTCCCCAAAGGATAATTTTTAATATCATTCAGTAGCTCGAATGATGTCAGGCCTAGGGTAAGGTAATACATTTTTGCTCAAGGAAATATAAATAAAATATTTCTATTGTGTGCTCCTTTGAAACATTCAGCCTCATTAATCTTTGCCCCTTGTGAACTTAAAAGGCATTCAAAAAATTTGTTGAATGAACGAACAACTGACTACCATACTAACAAAGAACGCTTCCATAAAGGTAGCCTGCCCAGAGAGAAGTAAAGACTCTAGAAGAATCATTAAACAAAATTAGCAAGGAGAAGAGAATGGGTCTTCAATAATTAATTAAAATAAGACTACTTGTTACAACAGAAAAAGAACTTAACCATCACTCATTTTTATATATAAAACACATAATTAATCAAAACCACAGTGGAATGCCAGTTTAGAAAGTCCATACAGAGCAATCATTTAAAAATACTATAAATAGGTCTTTTAAAAAGATGTCAACAGAGGTTGAAACTAAGATTATCTAGGCAACTTCTAGAATACACACTATTACAATAACTATCATTCATTAACAAATCATTTCTGCAAAATGAGAATAGTTGTGTTAAGGAAGTCACAAGACCAATCAGATTTTAAAAACTAGTTGACATGGACATTTCATGGATACGAAAGTTTATTTCTCTTTAACTTCTTTTCAATGTGGAAAATGAAAGCACAGTTCTACTTAACAATGCATGACATTGAGGACGCATAAAAACAAAATACCCTTGACTACATCCTGCCCTGTTAACTACAGTTCACCAGCTGTGACTAAGACTGGAAACAGGAGAAAAAGACACTCTGATTTCTCCTATAGCCCAGATCTATGGCAGCAGGTGCAAGACATCGCAGCAGTGACTTAAGATTTTTCTTTCTTCTTTAAGCAAAGAAATCAATTGTAGTTGGCAATGTAGTCTTACAGCTATTCAGGAAAAGATAAATATATGTCTCACTTACTTGAAACTATGATAATATACTTTTAATCCTGATAAAGCAACAAGCTACATATGACCAGGGGGGGAAAAAAATCACCTGAATTAACACCAACTATTTACATTTGCTCCAGGAACCCTCTGCCAAAAGATTGTTTTTATCATCACTGTCATCACCAACCACCACGTAATAAAGTCACTAAATAAAACTCTTGTTTGGGCTTACTTTTTTAAGTGTTAAGACCATAGGAAAATGTGTGTTTCTCCACACTCATACTTTATCCCTGAAGAAGGGCACATCTGGTACTTACTAAATTGACACATCTGGAAGTTACTAGATTTATATATATATATATATATATATATATATATACACACACATATTCCAAGCCACAATTGGGAATGTTAAGGATTTATTAGCTCAAAAGATGTCTTATAAACTACAAAAAAAGTTTTCTGTTTACAGCACAAAATTCATTCATCAAAGATCTCTAACAAATTCTTAAAGTTTTCTATCTTTATAAAACATGAAAAACAAAACAGAACTACAGAATTATCTAGTACCTTGCTCTGGGACACACAGTAAAGTTCTTAACACGAAGAATGTCTTCCTGCTCCAGGGTCAATAAACAGTTGGTAAAACTGTAATTTCATCTCTCCTCCAACACTTAAATTTGAGAAAATGTTACTAATATTTCTGAAATATTCTGTGTAATTACAATACTTCCCTCACAAATTACTGTTCCATTACAATTTAGTGCAACACTGGCATGTCACACCTTTCAACAAAAGCATTATCTATGTAAGGAATGACAGAAACCCACTATGTAGGACTAACAATGTCAGTTCCATTTGTTGTGAAAATTGACACTTAAATTTTAACCCACAAACACTGCTGAAATTTAGGTAGAAAAAAGATACTCCTTTTACATGGAAAAATGCTGAATTGTGAACCACGGTGCTCATCAGTTATCACAACAGTACTTTATACTTCTGTTACTCAGTATGAGGCGAGCGCGCACACAGGTCTTTCTTTTACTTCGTATTCCCATCGTCATTTCTTTCCTATCAGAAGATACTTCTGGTCCGCTGTGGTGTGGCCCTGAGGATTTTCCTATTCCACTACCCTAAACACCCAGCTCGCTACCACGGGCTTCGTGAAACCAACCCTGCAGGTGCAGACGCCGAAAGCTCCGGGGACAGGCCCTGGCCGCGCTGACCCGCACTCGGGCAGGCTCCCACCGCACACACATTCACCGCGGTTCCCCTGCTCTCGCAGGGCCAGGCAGGCCTCGGCGTCCGCTGACACCCTCCGGCCTGGCAAGCCTCGGGGCCTGCCGGCAGCACCAGGGCGCCGCTCCTAGCGCTCACTGGGCGCTGGGGCTTGGTGTCCCGAAGCCCGCGCCCACCCGGCTCCCCGCAGCCGCCCAGCCCGGCCCGGCCCGGCCGCCGGCCCGCCGCCCCGCCTCCCTGCGCGCAGCTCTCGCCCAGGCTCCTTCCGGCCGCGGGAGCGCTCGCCCACGCCCGCCCCAGGCCTGCCGCTCCCCGGGGAGCTGCGGAACGCACCTCGAAGAGCTCGGCCGCCGTCGCCATCCCGGCCGGCTGAGAGGACTGCCCGGCGCGGGACGCCGTCTCCGCTTCACATGCTGCGCCTCACTGGCGCCGCGCACAGGTCCCGGCTCGGACGGCCGCCGCGGGTCGCTCTGTTCTCACCGGGCTCAGGCACGGCAGGAGAGCGGCCATGAAGCAAAGCCGCAGACGCCTGTCAGCTGCCTCCTGGCGCCGCCCGCGCCGCTCCCATTGTCACCACCTCATACGCCGGAAGTGGAATTGCGCGCGCCGGCGAGGCCGCGAGAGGGGAGGGGAGCGGAGAACAGCGAGGGCCCAGCGAGCCCTAGAGCCTTTTGTTCGGGCGTGTCCGGAAGTTTGATCCTTGCGGGCCACCATCCCGGAAGTGGGATTAGAGGAAGAAAGTACAATATTGAGTATTCTCGGTATGTAGGGTGCGGACTTTCGGAACTTTGCATGGTATGTGTTGACCAGGAAGGACTCAGAGGTTTTGGTCACCTCCCCTGAAGGTCTGAGCTGCTCCGATGAGACCACCTGTGTTTGCACCTTGGGACTTGTGGTAAGAGTTCCTCTGAAAAAACCAAGCTGCGTTGTTGCTGGGTTGCGACCTTAGTTTGGAGCTGCATTGATGCTTTAGCGGTTTACCATGGCTCTGCGTGCAGTGTTGCTCATACGCCACGAACCCGGAACTCCATTCTGTGGCTCCGTGAGATTCTCCAGGTAAATGAAAATCTGAATCCTCAGATTCATTGCATCCTGGGTCTACTGCGCATAGCTTCTAACCTCAGTTTTGTCTGTGACTGGAAATCTTAATAATCCTACCTTTACAGTCTTGGCAACATTGAATGAGCTGTCGACGCTTGGTGCATATTAATTACTAGGTGTGCTTTCTGCTTTTGGTTTTCTATCTTAAAATTAGCGTAGGTGCTTTTGATTGATGTAGAAGTGACGAAAAGGTGTTTAGCCCTAAATGTGTTTTAGTGATGAAATCATTCAAGGGCATTTAAGTCATTCTTGTAAAAAACTCTTGCTGACCAGTATCACTGTTACTTTCGTCTGACCAATGTGTCATTAGAGGAATCATAGTTTAAGTTAGTACTTGATGAAGAAAATAGAATTACGAAAATTGAATTGCATTCACTTTTGTCTTAGCTGGTATACGTGATCTGGTCCCACCTTTAGAATTTACCATATTGTATTTTATTTTATTTTTTTGTCTTTTTCGTTTTTATCGGTACCAGGGATGGAACTCACGACTGCCTGCTTGCAAGGCAGGCACTTATGCCGCTGAGCTAAATCCCCAGCCCCTTAGAATTTACCATATTTTAGAAAAAGAGATATCTGACAAGAAGTCTGTACATCAAATCAAAATCCGATTGACCATGCAGTAAACTGTTTCTTTTCTTTTCAGTGGCTACTGACAAGTTGGTTTTTGGTTTTGGCCAGCAATTAATTCTTGCCCGAGGAGAGATATTGTCATAGTGGAAGTGAGATTGAAGCAAATAAACACGAGTGTAGTTTTAAGTATGTTTTTCTCTATACTGTGGGCTAATTTTCCTAATATCTTCCAAATAGTCTATCTTCTATTCATTTGTGTATAGGGCTGTTCATAATGTTTATTGCACTGTCATAAAAACATTGGTCTGTCTCATTTCTATCACTCTGACCTTTTTTGTGCCAATACCATACTGTTTTGTGTGTGTGATTCTATAACTTGCTTTATTATCTCAGAGTGGTGAACTTTTTACTGCTTCCTTGAGAAAGTCTTGCTAGTTTCAGAATTTTTTCCTAATGTGCTCAGGGGAAAAACTATTTTAGAAGAAAAAATTTAGATATATTTGTATGAGCTCTCAATATTTCTATGGAAGAGCAAGTTCAGTTCAAATAATTTATATGTCACTATAATAGTGTATTAATGAATGAATGAGTTTTATTATTTTAGATTTTTGACCTTTTGGGACTGGTATTAGTGCTAAACATATACTGTCATTATTAATACAGCAAAAAATAATCACCATCATTTAAGTTGTAGTAGGACAAATGATCTTTCCTCTACCTACTTATTTCCCGCAATGGAAATTGGCTTAGACTCTGATTTAAAGTTGTGCTGTCTAGATACTGTAGTAAATTGTGTAGATTAAGCCCAGGCAAGGTTGGTGTAGTCCCGCTAATTGTAGGGATATTTAAAGTTTAAATCTTCTTTAAGAAAAAACCATAGAATAAATGTAAAATGATAGACTGAATCATCCTAACAGAATATTTATTGAGTACATATTGATGTGTTGAATAAGACCCCACAGTAACTTCTTATCTTTGCACTCAAGGTTCTTAAATTTTCATAACTTTATTATGTTGATAACTAGGGACTAAGAGAAATTGCTAATTATGAATAAGCTAATTTTTCCTTCGCAACCAAGAAAATACGGCAGAATTTGAATGACTGAAGTTTACTTATACGTAGATGACTTTACATTCATATATATATATATTTTTTTTTTTTCTTTTTATCTTTTAGAGACAAGGTCTCGATACATGGTTCAGGCTGGTGTTGGGCCTCCTTTACAGCCCAGACTGGCCTCGAACTCGCCACAATTCACCTGCTTCAACCTCCCAAGTACTGGGATTACAGGCATGTTCCAGCATGCTGGCTTTTATATTTTTTTACAAAAATTATTAACAAACATCAGTATTTTGTTAGTGAAAAATATTATTTTAGCCAGGTATGTTTTTGACTCTGATTAACCACACTTTTTTTCTTTTTGCTACAATCTTTTATTTCACTTTTTTTATTTTTGGTGCTAGATATTGAACTGAGAGCCTCAAGCATACTAATAATGTACCACTCCCTGAGTTCTCCTATTTGTTTTATAAATAAAAATTGGCTACTAGATGGGTTTATTCTAACTTTGAAGTATAGGGAGAAGGAAAAGTACATTTTTGAAACTAAGAAACTGATTAACAAATTTCTGTAAATGAGCAAAGGTATCTTCGGCTGTACTTCCCAAGAAAAGAAAAAGATAAATTAATAACTCACCGTTCAACCTGCTGACCTAGAGCAGTGATGATGAACCTTTTGTAGTTTTCAGCAATAACAAATAGCTGTGGCACATGTCCCATAGGTTCACCACCTCTGAACTCGAGCATGCAAACAACAATTATTCTGATTTTCTTCTTTTTTTTAAACTTCATACTGTCTTCCAGCACTATAGAAATAAACTGTTATCTGCCATATTTTGGGCAGAGTCGGCAAAAAGAATCAGATACTTGTTATTCACTCAGACTTGAGTAGAACATTCCTTTAAAAATGTATCATCTCAACTAGTGAATCCAAAATTGTAGAGTGTTAAATCAAGCCTCTTCTTTAGTCTTCTAAAGAGATTGTATCTTCTAAGATACAATCAAGACAAAAAAATTCTTACAGAGATTGGCATAGACTTCTTGCGTACCAAGAGGGAATCAGAAAGTTTTAAGAAACAATTTTAAATTAGGATCATATATTTTGCCTAAAGAAATAACTAAATTTAGTTAAGCATTTCAATAATAGGTGATAATCATGATAACATACCAAGTATGAAACAGTTACTTTGGTAAGAATTTGTGTTTCTTGGTGGTTGGCTTTTGTGGGTGTATTTGTTTGTTGTTGCATGTTTTACTGTTATTAACATCTGCCTTGTGTCTGATTTTATTTAGTAGGAAGATCATTTATGTTTTTTCCCCTAATGCAGACGGTATCCAACTGTTGAAAAGCGAGCTAAAATCTTCAATGGAGGGAGTTACGTGCCTGTTCCTGAAGATGGTCCTTTTCTTAAAGCACTACTCTTTGAACTTAGATTACTGGATGATGATAAAGATTTCGTGGAATGCCGTGACAGTTGTTCACACATCAATAAAACATCTATCTATGCTCTACCAATAGGAGGCAAAGAACTCTGGCCAGTTGTTGCATTTCTGAAGAATGGCATGATATATGCAAGTGTTCCACTAGTTGAACAGACTCTATCCCCTCGTCCACCACTAATTAGCATTAGTGGGATTTCACAAGGCTTACAGCTCCTTTTTGGTATTCAGGATTTTCTGTACTTAAGTCAAAAAAATGACAGTGAGTTAAATACAAAGTTATGCCAGTTGCCTGACTTGCTTCTACAGGCTTGTCCATTTGGTACTGTATTGGATGCCAACATACAGAGTTTCTTGGATAACAATAACTTTGCTTCTGTGACTCAGCCACAAAAACAGCCAGCCTGGAAAGCTGGAGTATACAAAGGAAAACCACAAGTTTCTATTTCTATCACTGAAAAGGTAAAATCCATGCAGTATGATAAACAAGATATAGCAGATACGTGGCAAGTTGTTGGAGCAGTCACTTGCAAGGTGAGATTTTTCTCAGGTAGTTGCTTAATCATCCCATTTAACATATATGGAGAAAAGTGAATCTAGCTACTTGTATTGCTAAATGACCTTCTTAATTTTTAGCTAAGCAAGGGGCCAGGGTTTTAGCTCAGCGGCAAAAGCACCTGCCTCACAACTGTGAGGTAGTGAGTTCAATCCCTGGTACCAAAAAAAAGTCTTCAGGTACTGGGTAAAATTGTAAAATTTTATGTTATCTTTTTTTTTAATCAGTTATTTTGTATCTGCTATACAGTGAGTTGTCCCATTACTCTAAATAAGCATTTTTATCCTACTTTCTGTGGGTCAGAACTTGAGAAGGAGTTTTACTGGAAACTTCTAGGATACTCTCTCGTGAGAGCACAGTCAACATTTTGGTCAGGGCTGTAGTGATCGGAAAGTTTGGGACTGCAAGATCTGTTTCCAAGATGAGTCAGGCACATGACAAGCTTGTTGGTGCTGGTTGCAGGAGACATACCAAAATCCTCTTTAATATAGACCTCTCAGCAAGCTGCTTGTGTTGCCTTTCAGCTTGGTTACTGGCTGCCCAGATGGAGTGAGAAAAGTGGAGGGGAGTTGGAATCAGAAGCTGTTCTTTTTATTAGGAAGCTGGAAGGTCGCGTGGCCTTGTTGCACTACTTCATGTTTGTTGGAAGCAAGTTACTAACTCTGTATTATGCCGTTCTGTCCACCTTTTGGAAAGAGTAGTGTCCTAAGAAACAAAAAGAAAAGATTATTAGAGAATCTGTGAAAGTGCTTAACTTTTTTTTTTTTTTTTTGCGTTTTTCCAGTACTGGGGATCAAACTCACAACCTCGCGCTTGTCAGGCAGGTGCTTATGTTACTGAGCTAAATCCCCAACCCCTGTGAACATATTTTAAGATAACCTTACTTTCCATTTTCTCTAGAGAGGTCAAATTTCAAATTAACGAATAAGTCTCTGGTATAATACCTAAAATCATTTTGAAAAGCTTTTGTTTTATTTAAACAAATCAATAGACAATACAGGACTTAAGGTTAGAAAAATCTGAAAAAACAGTGGAAATAGTCCAGAAAGCAGTGACTAATACCATGTTGAATAGTGACCAAAAGTAAAATTCCCCAAGTAAATATCCTACAAGTGTGTATTAATATTCCCACATGTCTATTTTTTCATCTTCTATTTAATGTAAACTTTTTGTACATCAAACTGAACATTAGCTGTCCATGTGTAAATCTTATGAATGAAAGTAGGCTGACGTTCTAGTCCTACTCTACCATTAATTTTGTGTGTGTCTTTTAAGCATAAGCTAAATATTTTAAAATTTTTAATGGTACTTACTATTGAGATTTGGCTTATTTTGTTATCTTCATAAATATGTATCAACAAAACATTTATATTACTAGTGTACATATAGACAGTGAAATAGTGAGTTGTTTAAAAGTTGAAGCACTAGCATTTTTAAATTTTTTCTAAGATAATTTGACATTTTTATTTTAAAATGTGACTGGTATAATTATCACCAAAAGATCGTTATGTCACACTAATTGTACTTGGTCTTATCCTAACACCTGTCTTTTCTCTTAAGCAATTACAGTGAATAGCTGGAACATTATTGAATTCACATGTTTTAAGTAGTAGTAGAAGATTAAAAAGTAAAACATTTCAGATTAGTATTGAAAAGAAAGAGTCCATAAATAGAAAAAGTTATAACTGTAGCACTTTTTTAGTATCTCCAATGCATTAAATGTGCTGAGCACTAGAGATATAAAGAAAGATTAAACAGGGGCTGGGGATTTAGCTCAGCGGCATAAGCACCTGCCTTGCAAGCGCGCAGTCGTGAGTTCGATCCCTGGTACCGATAAAAAGTTAAAAAAAAAAGAGCAAAGAAAGATTAAACAATCCTGATTTCCAAAGAATATCAACCTTCAAGAGGGAAACAGACATAGACAGCTATTAAAGATGACGGACAGTTAATACAAGGTGTGGACTAATGATTGTGCACTTGGAGCTAACCATTTAGCCTCTTACGTTCCACTAACTTAAAATATTTTGTATCTCTAATTAAGTAAAATACCAGTAAATCTTACGTGGCTCAACTTGCCAGTTGGAGCTAGCATTTTAAGGTATAATATCAAGTTAGGTACAAAGGATGACTCAGACTACCTACACACACATATGTAAGGCTTGTTGGGATAGTTGTGTCATAAAAGACCACTCTAAGATTTATTAGAATAAACGTCAGGACTTACTCAAGGATAAGAGGTGCTGAGGAAAGAAAAATAATACTCTCGTTACATCCTTCAAGAGAGAGAGAGTCCCTTACAAGTTCATCCCAGAGATTAGAGTTGTTAGGAATCTACAGTTCACAGAGAAGTCTATAAAGCTGGCTTAACTGTTACAACCTCAAAGCAGAAGATAAGAAAGGATGGCCAAAAGTAATAGCAAAGTAGAAGCTCGAGGAGAGGTCTGAAGCTGTCAGATCTGGCTTCCGTGATACCCTAAGAACAACGGCTTCCCTTTTCCTCTTCCCAAATCTTACGAATGTCTCCTGTTGACAAAGTCAGATCCCACAGGTAAGAAGATACCCACCATTTCTGCATGCCAGAAATAGGCTCTAAAGGTGACAGTGTAGAACTTTAGTCATTACACAATTATTAAGTAACTTAGACATGAATGAATTTATAGGGAGAAAAGAGCACTACAGCTAAATGGAATAACATGCAAGTATAAGCAGGAGTTATTCAGGAAAATGCAAAACTTCTAAATGTTTACAGCATAAATCACAGAATATGAAATGAGTAGAAGAGTTAGATAGAGGCTAGACAACAGAAGGCTTTTTTTTCTTTTAAAAGAAACACAGAACTAAATAGCCAGGTATAATGGTGCATGCCTATAATTCCAGCTCTCACGAGGAGGAGGCAGGAGGATTGCTTGAGTTCAAGGCCATCCTAAAACTAAACAACTAAAAAGTGAGTTCAGCGCCATCTTGAATTACATAGCAAAACCCTGTCTCAAAAAAGGCCTAGGGAGGAACCATTGAAATAAAACATGAAATAATATCACTAAAATTATACTTCATTTAAATACGTCTGCATTGCTGGGGAAATGGATTAACCGGAGGAAAGCAAGTCTAGACACATTTAGAGGGCTGTGACAGAAATTATAAAGGCTTTTACATATGTACTTCCAAAAGAGTGAAGATAAGTGAGTAGATTTTAAATATTTTTTAAGGAATTTAGAGGAAAGCTGAAGGGTCTCTGAAATCTCTCTGGTCACCAGCATAGGTGTTTAAGAGTGTAAAATTGTTAAAAAAGAACAACCTAGAGAAAATGTAGGTTAAATTAGGAACAATGATTGAGACAGTGAGAAAAATCCCAAAAGGAAGGTGTATAGTCTTAAGTCTAAGATCTTGGTCATACTCATTTCTTCTGTTACAGTGTGATTTGGAAGGAATCATGCCGAATGTTACCATCAGCTTGAGCCTCCCCAGCAACGGGTCTCCACTGCAAGATATTCTTGTTCATCCGTGTGTAACGTCTCTTGATTCTGCCATTCTGACTTCTAGTAGCATTGATGCAATGGATGATTCTGCATTTAGTGGACCGTACAAATTTCCGTTCTCTCCACCTTTAGAGTCATTCAACTTATGTTACTACACGTCCCAGGTAAACAATCTTGGACAAGTTGAGACTTGGTGACTTTTATATATATAAGTACCATTATAAATACTATGATATGTTTATAAATACTGTTCATGAGGAAATTGTTTCTATTCTTGGCCTATTGAAAAATTCTCATGAATTGTTTACCAGACAAAAATTGATGAAGGAAGATGAAGAGTCAGTTATCTGTATGGGCTGCCTCTTATTTCTGGTATTTATAACTGTATTAATGGTTTTCAAAGTCAGTATTTTTGTTTTGTTTTTTAATATTCCCTAACAAGGAGTCTGTGATACAGGATAGATCCTAGTATGATTTAGTCATGGTTTAAACCATAAACATGAAGTAACTCTTAATTGTAGGAAATCTTAGTTACAAATATCAATAGCTATTTATTGCTTATTGAATAAGTGCTGTGCATCAGACATCCTGGGCATTTTGCCTTTATACTCTCTAGTACTTTTAATGAGCCTTAAGGTAGGTATTACTCCCATTTTACAGATGCAGAATGTGTCAAGAGAAGTTAAATGACTTATTATTAACTAATGGCAAAGCCTAAGTTTGAATCCAGATCTTGCAGATTCCCAGAGTGTGATTCCAAATCACACTGTAACAGAAGAAATGAGTATGACCAAGATTCCCAGAGTTTTCCACTCTGTCGTATCAGTTGTCTCTTGTCCTAGTTTTCAGTCAGTAGATTAGGAAATCCTGCTTAAGTGGAGGGAATTTATTTTGAGAAGGCAAGGAAATTTCATTGTCATTTATGAAAAGATGTAGAACCCAGGCCACATTGGTACTAGGGCCAGAAAATTAAAATCACTGTATGTTCAAGGTTCATACTGTCACATCGCTGTTTCTCAGTCTCTTTCAACTGCCTTTCCCTACTTGCGTGTGATCGTACAGCTCTAGAGCCTCCATATTAGTAGACTCTATCTTACTTCAGATAGACCAGTAGAAATAATTGCTTTCCCCAACCTACAGATTATTTCCCCTTCGGGCAGCTACAGTTGAGCTAGGGAGTTAAGGAGGAATGGGCGAGTACAGTCACAGGGTACAAAAAGAGCAATGCACACTACACAGCACAGAGATGATCAGTGTGTGTAGTACATGCCCCATGGAGAGCTTATAAAAAAGAACATCAGGAGCAAGAGCACAGACTGGAATATAGTGTGTACTTTCATAAGACATCTTTGTCATCTCTGGAAACAGAAGAGACAGAAGAATGTCTGCCCATGGAGTGAACTTAGATCCACCATTGCTATTACCAAAATAACCTGGAGAAACTCACTAGGTAATAAATAAAGGCAGATCTGAATATAATTATGTGTGTGTATAAATATATACAATGTAATATTTATATTATCTAATGTATATTACTGGAAGACTTTGTGTCAGTCACTAGTGATATTTTAGATACTGTAACCTGAAAATTATACAAAAATTTGTTTGTTTTCAGGTCCCTGTCCCACCAATTTTGGGTTTTTATCAAATGAAAGAAGAAGAGGTACAACTAAAAGTAGCAGTTAATTTAAAACTTCATGAAAGTGTAAAAAATAATTTTGAATTCTGTGAAGCTCATATACCTTTTTACAATAGGTAGGAATAAATAATACAATGCCATGATTTCTTCTTCCCTGGTATATTTCCTTGCTCAGTAATAAAGTGTCTTTTCTGCTTCATTTTTCATATCCAAAGAATTTTATGTCACTCAAATGTAGGGTGATACTGAGCCCCAAAAACCTATTTGCCATAAATGTGCTATCATTTTTCTGCTTCAACTTGGTAATAAGTTACAAGCCAGCCTGATTTCCCGGGAGATTACTTTACTACAGCTTTATGTGTAGCCGCTTTTCCGAGTGCTGCATATAACTGCTGGCTGCCTGATGAAGGAGCCGGTCGTGAGTTTGCTCGCTCATCGGTTCTGCTTCCTCAGCTTTTGTGCAGTAAAGCTCTAACACGAACTTGAATATACGGTAAAACTCAGAGATTTAGTAACGTGTCAGTCTGTTTGAACACATTAATATATTCTGTAATATAGTTGTCCTTAGAAATAAAAACAAATGTGTATCACGACTAAATTTTTATGTGGGCTTTGGTGTTTCCTGAGGTATGTTTTCATTATCGAGTCCTATACTGCAAACCTGAATGCAGGCGTTTTTATGCTGTCCTTTGTATTAAGTAACATTAGCAAGGTTTGACTTAAGTCTTTTAAAACTACTATATTTGTGATTGTTTTCTATTATTTTCTTTTTAAAAGAGGCCCAATTACACATTTGGAATACAAAGTTAGTTTTGGCCAGCTTGAGGTCTTTCGAGAGAAAGCCTTATTGATCTGGATTATTGGTGAGTAAGGTTTTTATTTTTTTCTTTTATATGGTGTAGAGTCCACTCTATTTAGAATAGTTGACTGGTGTATTTGTGTTTCTAGGCCAAAAGTTTCCAAAATCAATGGAAATTAATCTTTCTGGAACTGTAACTTTTGGAGCCAAAGGCTATGACAAGCAGCCGTTCGACCAGATTTGTATTGGAGGTACAGCATTTGTAAAGGTAAACATGTTTATTTGGCTTACTATGTTAACACCCTTTTGTTTGTTTCTAGGTTTCATATATCTAGTTCATTTTTGCCGTTTTCCAACAATTTTTTTGAATTCTATGCTTTTTATATAGATAAATCCTTTGGATTTGTGTTTAATTCTTTTTGCTCAGTACTACTCACTTTCTATTTCACTTAATAATTAAATTTAAAGGAAATAAGTATAAGCATAACACCCAAACTTTTTTCTTTTAATGTTTGTTTTTATTAATACAAATTTCCAATACAGAATGATTACATTCCTTATGGGGAATTGATATGTATACATGACACATCTTCATTTTTTTCAGTCCCTTCGTCTTATACCTTCCCATTCCTTCATCTCTATAGAGAACCCTTTACTGTCCTCATTGTGGTCCAGGAAGGTTTATATTTATAATCCCAAGGAGAAGTTATTGGAATTCCAGTGAGTTACTTCCAATCTACCACTTCCAATCCAACCCAAGGCATTACGACACTGAGACATATATACAGTTACAGGGAGCCAAGGAGTTCTAAGTCCAGCCAAGATGGTGGTTCACCAGAACAAAGGCCTCACCCAGAGCCCAACCCGGGTTTTATTAATTCTCCGTGAGGGGCGTACCTCGGAGATGAGTGACAGTGAAACTACCATGACTGTCCTGAGCTGGGCTAGGTAGGAGGTCTGAGATCACCTCTGCGATAAGCAGAGGGTGACACATGCAGAGAGAGGGCCAGGGATTTAGCTCAGTGGCACAAGCACCTGCCTGGCAAGTGCAGGATTGTGAGTTCAATCCCCATACCAAAAAAAAAAAAAAAAAAAAAAAAAAAACACAGAGTGAGAAATCTACATTACACAACTGAGGTAGTATCTAGTAATTTGGAGTTGGTGCTTCCGTTCTGATGTATAATGCTTTTTACCCTGGGAGTCACAGCCTCTTTTCTCAAGGCTCGATACCAGTTGACAGGACAGTGTGGAGCACGTGGAATGGCTCCCCATCCCACCTGGCTCAACCAACGTATTTGGGGAGTCACTGGGGGGCGGGGAGTGAGACACTGACCTGTCATTTTGCTTCAGAGATTACACATCAGCTCCTCAGCTAACCCAGTTTACATTGCTTAAAGCCAATTAAAGGGGTAAAGAAATAGCTTGGCCAGCTCTGTGCATGTTAGTACATGGAGATAGGGCCAAGTTTATCCCAAATGGAGATAGGTGCTCTTCATTTCAAGGAGAGTCACCTGAGTGGTTCACCACAATCTCTTAATCTCTTTCCCATGTGAGACACAATTTATCTCCCTTCTTCTTAGGTTCTTCATTTCATGTTTTATTTGTGTTTTGTTTTGTTTTGTTTTGTTTTTGAGGCAGCATGGTATGCAGTTTGACCAGGTCTTGAACTCACTTTGTAGCCAAGACTAGTTTTGAACTCTCAATGATCCTCCTGCCCCAGCTTCCCAAGTGCTGGAATTATAGGCGTGAGCCATTGCGTTTATTATATAAAAGAACTATGTGATATTGAAGCTTGTGTGGTTTATTTGACTTAAAATTGTGGTCTGAAGGTATATCCATTTTCCTACAAATGAGTCAAGTTCATCTATCTTTATGGCAGAGTAGTATTCTATTGTATATAAATACCACATTTTCTTTATCCATTTGTCTGTTGATGGACATATAGGCCGCTTCCAAGATTTAACTATTTTGAATTATGCTGCTATAAACATGGGTGTACATGTATCACAAGTATGATGATTTTCAACTTTTTTGGAAAGATACCAAGAAGGGGAATTGTTGATCACATGGAATGTCTAGTTTTAGTGGGTTGGTTTCTTTGCTTGCTTGCTTTTTTGAGACAGTGTCTTGCTATATAGTTTAGGCTTACTTTGAACTCATTATGTAGCCTGGGCTGGCTTCAAACTCTCAGCAATCCTTGTGCCTCAACCTCCAAATTGCTGGAATTATACACACATGCCGTCATTTCCAGCATTAATTTTAGTTTTTTGAGGAATCTCTATACTGATCTCTATAATGATTGTACTAGTTTACATTCCCTCCAAAAATGTAGAAAGATTCCATTTTCCTTGGTAACCTTTCCAGCATTCACTGTTATTTGATTCACTGATAATAGCCAATCTTTCCAGAGTTAAATAGAATCTTAGTGTAGTTTTAATTTGCATTTCTCTAATGGCAAGAGATGATTTTTCATGCATTTATTGGCCATTTGTACTTCTTCCTCAGAGAAGCATCTATTCATTTCAGATGCCCATTTTTTGATTGGGCATTTGAAATGCCCATCTTCTATTTTTTGAAAGAGTCTTAATTTTTTTAATTCTTTATATATCCTAGATATTAGTCCTTTGTCTGAGAAATAGTTGACAGTGATTTTTTTTTTTTTCCATTTTGTAAGTTGGGTCTTCATTGTGTTGGTTGTTGCCCTTGCTGTGCAAAAGCTTTTTAATTTAATATGCCAATTTTTGATTCTCAGTAATATTTCTTGTACAATTGGGTTTCTGTTCAGAGTATCCTTTCCTATAACTATGACTTCAAAAGTTTACCTAATTTATCTTCCAGTAACTAAGAGTGTCTCTTTGTACATTTAGATTTTTAATTCACTGGGAAATTAGCTCAATGGCATACGTATCTGCCCGGCAAGCACAAGGTCATGAGTTTGATCCCTGGTACCAAAAAAAAAAAGTAGATCTTTGATTCATTTTTATTTTAGTTTAGAACAGGTAAGAGGAGTCTAGATTTTCCCAGCATGATTTATTAAAGAGACTATCTTTCCTCCAGTATATGTTTCTGGCTTGTTTGTCAAAAATCAAATAGCTTAATATGCCTGGAGTTATTTTTGTATCTTCTATCCTGATACACTGACCCACATGTCTGTTTTGTGCCTATTCCATGCTGTTTTTATCATTGTAGCTTTGTAGTATATTTTGTAGTATAACTCCTGTTTTGATCTTGTTACACAAGATGGCTTTTGCTATTCTGGATCTTCTCTGTCTCCACTGGAACTTTAGGATTTTTTTCTCTAGTTCTATGAAGAATATTACTGGTATTTGTAACCTTTCCATCATTCACTGTTGTTTGATTCATTGATGATAGCCAGTCTTTCCAGAGTTAAATAGAATCTTAGTGTAGTTTTAATTTGCGTGGGGAATTGTGTTAAATTGTGTATGACTTTGGAAGTATGACCATTTTGACCATATTGGTTTTGCCAGTCCAGGAATAAGGAACATCTTTCTATTTTCTGATGTTCTTTTTGATCTTCTTTTTCTGTGTACTATATTATTCATTGTAGAGGTCTTTCACTTCTTTGGTTACATTAGTTCCTAAGTATTTAATTTGTCTTGATATTATGAATGGTATTTTTTTCCTAATTTCTTTTCAGTGAGTTTCTTATTGTGTACAGGAACAGTTAATTTTTCTGTGTTTTGTATCCTGGTGTGCATTGCTGCATTTAAGTATTTATGCTAGGAGTATTTTGGTGGAATTTTTTTGCAGAGGATCATCTTGTCTGCAAATAATGATAATTGGACTTCTTCCTTTCCAATACATGTGGCTTTTATGTCTTTTTCTCTTTTTTTTTTTTTTTTCTCTTTTTTTTTTTGAGACAGCGTCTCGCTCTGCAATTCAGGCTGGCCTTGAGCTCACCTTGTAGCCCAGGCTGGTCTCGAACTCGCAACAGTCCTACTGCCGCTGCCTCCCGAGTGCACGAGCCACCACCCGGCCTTGTGTCTTTTTCTTGCTTGATTATGCTTGCTGTTGTTTTGAGTGCTATGTTGAATAGGCATGCTGACAGAAGACACCATTGTCTTTTCCTGATTTTTGAAGGAAAGCTTATGGTTTTCCCCCTTTAATATAATGTTAGTAATGGGTCTTGTCTTCTATTTCTGATCCTTTGTCTTTCCATTGTCACTTCAGCTGCCTGTACTTTTTTTTGTTTTTTGGTACCAAGAATTGAACTCACAACCTCATGCTTACCAGGCAAGCACTTGAACCGCTGAGCTAAATCCCCAACGCGGCCTGTACTTTTGATAGACTTTAATCGCCTGTGTCTCTGTTTGGTGCCTTTTATATACTCTGATGCTTTTCTGTGCTGATCATTCAGCTAGCTTTTTATTAGTGTTTGACCTGCTCATCTGTTTTGTTACCGCCTCTGTTATATATAATTCTTTTTGGCTGTGTTGGTTTCGATTTCCTCCCCTTTGATGCTACCTGGATCATGTTTGGTAGGAGTTTTTGCAGGCATTTTGTTGTCCTCTGATGTTTCATTTGGTTTTTGTTGAGCTTTGCTGAGGTTTTGGGCTTATTATAAACAGAAAGCTTTGTTACTAGTTTGGTCACTTTTATAATGTCTGACTTTTCTGTGATGCTCTCTGAGCCTGTCCCAGAATCCAGTGGCCTCCTTTTATTTCAGAGTGGAGGTTGCAGTATATTCAGCTTAGTGCCCATTTCACTGAAAACAGTTTTGTTAATGACACAAAAGCAGTCTAGACATTGACATCCAGAAGGAACTAATTAATACCAGCAACTGTGTTGCCTTGGCTATAGTAATAAAATCAGCACCGAGGCCTACAATTATAATAAAAACACTAAGACAAATGAAATATTGACCTACAGTAATATCTACTAAATGGTACTAGTTTACCTTCACTACCTGTAATAGAACAGTATTGAACAGTATTACATGGAGTTAACTATCTTTAGGTCTCTGTCTGAAGATTCATGAAGTCTTATAGTTATATCAGCAAAGACAGAAGGTCTAGGAAACCAGAGAATGAGAAAAGTAAAGTTTGAAAAATTTACCAAGGGAAGATGAGAAGGAGAAGACTGAAATGAAAGAGGGAATTCTGTGGAGGAGTGAAAGGAATTTAATAGTATTAGAAAACAAGAAGGAAAAAAGAAAAACAGGAAATGAAAGAAGGAGGGGTAAAAGAGAGCAAAAAAAAGTGAACAGCCCCAGACCCAGGAGGTCTTCTCAGCCTGCACGGCCTCCTCCACAGCCCGGGCGGCCTCCTCCATGGCCCGGGCAGCCTCCTCCACAGTTCGGGCGGCCTCCTCCAGAGCCCGGGCGGCCTCCTCCACAGTCGGGCATCTGTTCCTTTCTTGCACTCACCTCTGCTGCTCCATGCCAAGGGGAAGACAAACCTGTAGCTGGCATGGAGTTGCTGGACAGCCACCCCTGGGGCAAGACATGGTGACTCCTGCAGCCTGGAGTCAGCCTGTCCCAGTAAGGCCCCCAAAGCACAGACTTAACCTGCCAGCTCTCAGTTACAGATTCAAGATGTGTACAAAAAGTCTCTGCTCTCTGGGGCTTTTCATAAGGCATGTCAGTCGATTGGTGGTAACTGCTTTTTGGTATTTCAAGGAAGGAGTGAGCTCTTCAAGGCAAAGTGGTCAAGGGAAGAGGGCTAACACAAACTATAGGCCTAAATAAGCAGAAATATGAAGCTTTAAAGATTAACTGACAGCCAGGGGTTTAGCTCACCAGCGGAAGTGCCTGCTTGGCAAACCAAAATTGTGAGTTCCATCCCCAGTACCAAAAAAAAGCAGTGACTTTCAGGAATGAAAAAGGATAAATAACACACACCTAGGACACTGTGTCAGACACAGTACTATCAGACACAGTACTGTTGTTATAAAACTGGATAAATGGTTTAGGTTTGGAATGTAGAGGGCTTGGCTTCTTTATTCCGTTGGTAGATACACTTTTTTGATTAGGAGAACAATCTTTCAAAAAGTGGTATTTTTGTGAACATCAGTCTGCACTGCATTTGAAGAAGGTTAGTTGTAAAAAACTAGATGCAACAAAAAAGAAAGGTAGTAAGTTGATGCTGAACTAGCAGACTATCAGCAGAAAGAGAGGAAGGGAGAAAAAGAAAAGGAGAACTCTAGAGCCATGATGAAAGTGAACCTTTAGGTTTTAATACAGAAACTAGAAGAGTTACAAGTCAAAGATGATACTCAAAAATATGTAACTTAAACCAGATTCAAACTTCAAAGAGAGCAAAAATTACGTGAGTTCCATTCATTCATTATTTTATCCCCACTGTTTTCACCAATACTTAGCACGTAAGTATTGATTGACTGTATGAACACACTGTGACAGAAACAGTGATATGGCACAGAGTTGGCAAGGAATGAGCATCATATTCATGTTACTGGTATGGAGCATATCTTTATGTAAGTGTTAAATGAGTAGCTAAAAACTTAAAAGTGTAGTTCTCAAGAGAAGTCACCCGTATGTAACGATTTAGTTCTCTACAGAAAAGAAATAGTTAACATAGTGGAATAGTATCAGAAATAAATATGAGAAAATAGGAGAAAGATTTGGAAGCACTGATGAGGGAAATTGAAGGAGTGATCTAAGAGGTAATAGGATACTTCAAAGAAGAGAGATTTAAATTTGTCAGTTAAGGCTGTTAGGGGAAGTGGTAGTAAAATCAAATGTATACTATTTTGTAATTCATTTTTTCCTGTATTGACTTCAGCTGTCTTTTAGCTTTGTTGGAAGAATTACTATATCCTAATTTTTCAGAATATGGTATGTTACTACACTGTCCTTTAAGGGTAGATATTATGATTTATCCATTTCTATAGCTTAACCACTTACAGTCTCATAAAAGACATACAATACATATTTGTGTTCATTGAATGGACTGAATGAGTTTTACATGGAATAAGTTATGTGGAAGTCAACTTTGCCATATCTGTCTTCCAGCATTCAGAATTATACCAAACCAACTACAATAGGAAAAAGTTGTTCAGATCTAAAAACTACATCTTATGTATAAGACCATTTAATTTGGCAATTAAAGGAGAAAATTATGAAACGGGAGAAATTTGCAGAGAAGAAAAAAACAAAAAATACAGGGCTAGGGATATAGTTCAGTGGTGGAGTGCTTGCCTAGCATGTGCGAGGCCCTAGGGTCTGATCCCCAGAACAGCCCAAAAAAGCATAGAAAGTATTTGAGGATAATGCAGCATAAGGAGTATTTAGGAGCAAAGATGACAAAAGGTGAGCAGAAGTCTGTAAAGTACCAACTTCTTCATGGTTTGTGTGAATGTCACTGTGATTCAGGGCATCGTAGCACCGTTCTGCAGAGAAGATGTTAGTGCCTACGCTGCCGCAGCACAATATAGTAACTGGCATTTTATCAGTAAATTAATTCATTTATCAATGAAATCTGGGAACTATGAAGTACATTTTGTACGTTTTCTACATGAAGAAACAGATAATTTCTAAGTTCTGTAAAAATTAAATTTTAGTTTTCTGAAATACTAAATAAAGCAAGTGATTCCCCCAACATGATATAAACTACCATTTATCTTTTATAATTGCATTCTTGTATTTCAAAAAAAGTATACATAATTGCCTATAAAAAACTGTGATATGAAATATATCAGTCACATAGTCTATGAATAGAAGAGAATATATAATGGATATGTACATATTTGTATACGTTTGCAAAACAGTTGAAGTAATTGTTATTGTTATTGTGAACTGTAAATTTTGAAGGGGAAAAAATGTGACCATTTCCAAGTAATCACCTTCACTGTTACATTTCTCTCCTTTTCCTAGCTTCATTTCAGGATTTTAGATTACACACTTACTGGATGTTATGCAGATCAGCACTCAGTTCAAGTTTTTGCATCAGGAAAGCCAAAAATAAGTGCACGTAAGTTGTATAGATTCAAACTAACTTAAAGGAGTTCCATAACTTATGGAATTAACATTGTATGTTGTTATTGCTTAAGACAAAACTAAAATAATAGAATTTAGAGATTGGGATATGTAAATACTCTGGTGTGATCCATTTCCACTGTTAAGGCGTATAGATGTCCCCCAAAGCCTTATGCAGTTGTAAAAGGGGTTTTTTCATAGGTGGTGGATCTTGAGTGTGTGACATTAGAATTGATTCACAGTGCAATGGTAAAGATCAGGGGCACTATCCCGAAGGGTGTGCGTGCTGCCTGTCTAACGTAAGTCAGATATGAGATGGACATGTAGTCACCCCCCTCGTTGCTTTGCTACCTTCTGCCTGCCATAAACTTTCTCCTCTGCCATGTGCCACCCTTCTTAGAGTCAGCCAAGTAGAGACTAAAACCTCTACAAACTGTGAAAAGCCTTTCCTCCTTTAACTCTGGCTGTCAGGTATTTTGTCTTATCAACTTGAAAATAAACAAGACATCACTCTAACACTCTGTGAACTTCACCCTGCCCTTTGCCTTCTGCCTAGGGAAAGATGTGAATGTGCCAAGATTGATGCAGAGGTGTACTTTAAAGCTTGAGGTGCTTTGCAGTGGTTATGATAAACCTTTTATTCAGGGATATTGAGCAACCAGTAATTGAGTCTGACTTCATTTTATTGGCTATATGGTTTTGGGCCTCACAACCTGCTCGGCAAGTGCTACAACAGTTTACCTACATCCCCAGCCTTTTTATAATTCTATTTTGAGGCAGCATCTCTCTAAGTTGTCCAAATTGACCATGAATTCTCATGCTGCAGCCTCCCAAGAAGTTGTACCACCATGCCTAGCTATACGTACTTCTTAGTTGAAAATATATCAAAGAAAAAACTCACCTTAAATGGATCATTATGACCATTCTTTTATGTCCTGCCTCTGTGTTACTTTCAGAACATGATTCAATTTGTGCAACTGCATGAAACCTTTATTTTGCCATCATCTCAACAAAAAATTAAGATCTTTATTTACAACATGCACTTCAGTTCCAAATTAGTAACAATGCTGATCTCAATATTAATGGCTAGCATTTTTCACTTACTATATGCCAGGCACAGTCCCAAGTGTTTTCTGTATAATAACTCATGACTCCCCCGCCCCCCTCTGTGAGTGCTGTCATCTCCATTTTACTTGTTGGAGCAGTGATGGGGGCCACATAGCTCACAGGTGGCAGAACCAAGAATCCAACCTGAGCAGTCTACCACCAGACTGTGTCTGCTTAGCAGTGTGCTGTTTTTTGACTCAAACTTTTAATTAAGAACAAAATAATATACTGTTACAAAGAGGGACATGAAGAAGGTTAGAAAAAGTTAAATTGGATATTTAGTGGGATATATATATATGTATATATTTTTTAAACATGCATCTAGCTCCAACTGAGCATTATTACCTCAGTTCTGCATACCAGAAAAGTTTAGTTCAAAGAGGTTGCCATTTGTCTAAAGTTACAAATCTATTAACCCAGAGGCCTTGACCTAAATGAGAACTGTAAAGAATCAGCAAAGCAGCCTCTGAAGAGTGTGGAAGGAAGTTGTGTGTTGATTTGTTTCTTTGACACTTTGAATGAGTAACAGTAAGACCAAAATGAGGTAATTCTGAAAGGTTACAGAATGCAAACCAACAAGGGACTTTTAAATATTTTTGCAATTAAAGTATTAACCCATAAGAAGTAGAATCAAGGGAGATATGAGGGGAAAATTGACAGATTTGCCTTAAGTAAACAATATTTCATGTAAGTTCAAAGATGAATTATTCAAATATTGAATGAGCTCATTTTCTAAAAATAGTAAAAGTTAAAGCCCTGATAAAATAAAATGAATACATCAAAGTATTTTTTTAAAAATTATGATTTTTATCCTCTTGTTTATTATTATTTTTCCTCTTTCTCTTTTAGACCGAAAACTAATTTCATCTGATTATTACATCTGGAATTCGAAAGCCCCTGCTCCAGTAACATATGGATCATTATTATTGTGATTTTCTCATGTTTAAATAGAATTTATTAGCCTGATGTAGTGGTAAATGCATGTAGTCCCAGCACTCCAAGAGACTAAAGCAGGAAAATTACAAGTTGAAGTCCATCCTGAGTAACCTTGTGACTTAGCAAGACCCAACCTCAAGTTAAATAAAGGGCTTGGAAGCTCAGTGCAAAGGTCCTGGTCCAATCCCTAGTACCACATGCAAAAATAGATAGATAGCTGGGGATATAGCTCAGCGGCATAAATACCTGCCTGGCAAACCTCAAGTTGTGAGTTCAATCCCCGGTACCAAAAAAAAGTCGTGATAGTGCTAATGAAAAATAGAGAGATAGACAGACAGACAGATAGATGAGGCTTATATTATGGTAACATAGCTTACATGGAATACGATCTTTTATTTCTAATTTATATAACAAGTAAATGAGTGATTTAATTTAAAAAGTACTTGTATTTACTGTTTTTAATCTAGCATACATTAGTTTGAAACAGTATTTTAAAGGCTGATGTCTTGGGTTTTTATTATCTTTGACCTTATGTCATAATTCAGAATGTAGAAAAGTGTGATTCATTCTAACATATTTTAAATCAGTCTTTGGGCAGCATCAAAGTACTCCTTCCTGCACCTGTGGCAGGCATTGCTAATCGTTCACAGCCTTTCAGAGTTAGAACCGGCTTATTTTTAGTACAGAACTTCAGTCATTGGATTGTAGCTGATATGAAAGGTATATTTGCTTTTCCAAACCTGAGTCCTAAACCCCTGGTACAGTGTACTGTTATTAAATATGACAATCCAAGTAGAAACAACTATAAAATCCTTAACAATTCTAGCCTACTGTTTATAATAAGGAATCCACATAATTCTATTTAAGATAGTATTTTCCTGTCTGTTCTACAGCCTCTTATTAGTAAGCTAGTTAATTTGCCAAAATAACTTGTTATTTGAGATGTCATCAGGCATGCTAAGATGGATGGAATACTCTGAAAAGATGAATGTTTTGTGATCATATCTGCAGCCAAGTTTTTAAAGATAATTGTAAGTGTAATATTGCTTTTTCTATACTAAATTATACCCATTAGTGAATGAATTCATATTAAAAACTGAAATAGCCATTATGTGACTATAGAGCCTTACTCTTATTTTAGTCTTATTAAGCATATTTTCTTTAAATTTGTTACTCTTATTCCTTCTTACAATTTGTTCAGTTTGTTCAGTTCCTAGTCATATCCTTTATTCTCCACTTGTTTCTACAGTTAAACTTCACATTCTGTTTTCAGAGCAGTTCATTGTCAGGTTGGAGTTTAAAAGACCAAAAAAAAAAAGCCTCAAGATCCTCAGAACTTCATTCATGTTGGAGTTCTTGATACCAAACAGAGTTGGGACCATTATAAAAAATATGCAGTGCAGATTAATATTCCAAACTCAATTATGTCTTAGGTTCTGTTTTTTAATGAGTCTCCTAAGGAAAAGCTTAGAAAAAGCTTCTAACTTCTCAAAAAAGAGCTATAATAGTTTGAAGGGATAGTGCATGTAAACTTAGGATTTGAAATAAGATTTTTTAATTAAGGTCAATCCTACTCATTATAAACCTTCATTTTCTGCAAAGCATTATCAAAGCATGAGGTTTTATGTTCAGAATTATTCCAAGTAATAAAAGAGAATAACTGCCTGACCAGGACTTTTAACTTGCTCTTCTGGTTTAATCATAGATAATCAGTAATAAAGACTTTACTTCTGGGGGGGAATACCATCCCCCATAAATTATTTATCTCTCTTCAACTCAAAGAAAGCTTAACACTTCCTTATGGTAACATTAATAGAACCATTTTGGTGATCCTGAGTGTACAGATGCTTAGCAAAGAGCACTAAGGTAGGCAAGAGATGTTTATCTGGAGAGTAGGGAGAGGCTCAATATAATCCCTGAAGCAAAACTTTCTAACAATGTAAGCAAATTATAAAAACCAAGAAACTGACTTGGCATTTCTAGAAGCCAGAGGAGAGTCTAGGGAGGACTGGGCAGAGTGGGGTGGTAGGGAACCTAGGGCCATCTGTTGCCTTCCATTCTAACATCACACTACACAGCTAAACCAACTTCTGTCTTTAGCCCAATGAGGTCAGCTGGGCACACTGTGATGCTTTTGATTTTGTCTAGAAACCTGTCACTTCAGGATAATTTTTGAAGACAAAGTCTGTTTCCCGTTTGGTAGGTGACCTGTTTAATGTTTTCCCTGCGTCTGGGAACTCCTTAGTGTAATTAGCGACCTTTGAACTCCACAACTAATCCTGAGCTATTTTGTATTCCTTACTCATCTTTAAGGCTGGACCTTTCTTTTCTTCAGAGTCCGCTGCCACAATTAAAGAAGAAACAGCTGCATTTCAAAGGGATTCCGATTCCAGAAGCTTAATCGTGATTGACATGTTCTTATTCTAAGCTATAAGACACTCTAAGAGTCCTTTCTTGGGTTAAAACTTCAATCATTTTCTAAAAAATTATCTCACTATGGATTTTATTCATTTTCTTTGATAAGTATTCTTTGCATTTTTAAACTTGAAAGATGCTTTGCGTTTGCACTGAATATGAACAACTACTTCCAGTGAAAGACTTGGATAGTGTCAGACCTGCTCTAGATGCAAAATTACTAAATTCCCTTTGGTGCCAAAATATGACTCTGAAAAATGTCTATCATAAGGGTAATAATTCTTCTCTAAATCCAAAGGGTAGAGAGAAAAAGTTAAATTTCTAAGAATGAGCTCCAGAAAAGATTGTTCATAACTTTTAAAGCCAGCAATATAGTAGGTACTACCTTATCATGATATTTTAGATTTGAGAAATTACCTCAGTCTCAGATTTGAAATGTAAATAGATTTGCCAGGAATTCTTACAAAACTTTCTAAAATTTTTTTTCTGTTAAACAGTCCCATACTTTTTTACTCTAACTCAAACTTTTTAGTTAAAATCATTACAGTTTTATACAGTGTTTGTCTTCAGATCTTTTCCAGATATTTTTTTACATAAAACACATGCTAATATATTTCTTGTAGCTTTTCTTACAGTATTTAAACATAGACAGTCATTGATTCTTACACTGCTCCCTGTAGGAAGTCTAGGTGGAATTGTCCTCAAAACCTCTGCAGAGGCTGCTGCCATGGCAGAGTAGTTGTTCATAAAACAAAGGTCAAAAAAGGCATGTTAATAAACAGTCCTCAGGTTTAAGGGACTTGTTTAGGATTACATCTTAAATTCCAACAAATCAGATTTAGGAGTTACTGAAAGTGAAATTGATCCATCCCTCATCCAAACTTTGCAACTTTCCTGTTCTGACATCATTTAGATAGTTAGCTGTATTATCAGATTAGAAACCATTGTGCCAGACCGCTGAAAGGAAAAGGAGGCAAAAAGCTAAACATGGATGAGTTCGGAACCTTCTAACCTGGCTGAAGTATGTTGGTCCCTGTTATGCAAAGACCTTCAATCCTCTGCTAAGTTCAGTGGAAATAATTTTCTTGAATGACAGGCTTATTCAGCAAGGATTCAGTTGGTGATTAATCCTCCTTTGATCTAGGGTATTTCACTTAACTACCAGTTACCTCATTCTGACAAAGTGCAACTGAGATTAGGGAGATCACTAGAACACTACCAGGGTGTGCATTTATTCTCTATAACCTTTTAAAGCAAGGGCCAAGAATGCAATTTATTTTCAGTATTTGAAAATGTAAAGTCCTGTCTGCTAAGTTAGAAAGTCAATTGAATACCAAATGAAGTTTATTTCTTAAGTAGTAGAACAAACATTTCTTTTTGCTCTGCCTAACAATGATATAAGGAAACAGGCTTTGAAAAAAGAAGAAACAAAGACTACATTCCTAGTATAGCCTCACATTTTGTTTCAGTGCTAGAGTGTATGCTTGTTGGCCCTCTAGTAACCCAAACATCAAAGGCGTGGCTACAGTATAGGTTGAGAAAATGCTTCTGTTTTATTAAACTGCATAGTTGCTTCTTACTCCCATCACCATCATTAGTAAATGTCAGGCTGTGAGGTAAAGAAATCTAATTGGGGAAAACATTTTTTAATACACAATTATTTATGACAAGACTTCTGATTTCAAAGCTTTGCTTATTAACTTTTCCTTTCTTGAGGAAACAGAGTTGGTATATTTCCATTATAATAATTGTATTCCTATTTAGAATGAAAAATTTTTCCATAAAATACATTACCAAAATACTTCAAAGAAATTATTTTAAGTATTTTCCCCTTTTCCTTATCTGGATACCTCTTCTATAAATTTAAACTTTGAAGTATTCTATGGAAAAGTGAGAAAAAAATTAGGATTTAGCTAAGCAGCATTAGCCCCTGCTTGGCAAGTGCAAGGTTGTAAATTCAATCCCTGAATCAGATGTCCCAAGTTTGGGGATTTATTACTCAAATATAATTCAAGACCCTTAAAATATATAGACAGATAACTAATTATAACAAAATTTGTTGTAAAGTTTAAATTTAACCAAGACCTAGTAACATATACTTCTAATCCTAAGCACTGTATAAAATGAGGCAGGATCGCTTGAGTCCAGAGTTCCAAACCAATCTGGGCAAGATAATGAGACACCATCTCAAAAATAAATAAATTTTTATTTGTGATAAGTTTTATAGACAGCACATTTTGGTAAAATGCTTTGTGACTGCTTTATTGTCCTAGTAATAATATGCAAGATCTTTTACTTTTTTGGCTCAAATCCTTGTGTGATCTGATTTATAAATTGAAATAGTGACTCCAGGAAGCGTGGGTCTAAGTTTATTTCAAGTCAACCTCTAGTTTCAATTTAATAATCCACTTCTAAGTGTCTTTTAATAGTAAATTACTTAGCCATAGCAAATTGAGGATCAAAAAATACACAGGAAAGTAGGAGAGGGCATGATTAAATGGATGAGTTGCTAAGAAACTGATGTTTCAATAATTACTCATACAGTAAGGAGTTAATAAAATGCTACAGTACATCTTGATATATGCCATCATAGAGTATATGCACAGCATACATGTATGAGTATATGATACAATGCTAGTGTGTCATTTCCTGTCAAACATTTCAGTTTCAAGCTAGAGGAGTAATATTTACAGTCAAATACCTTCCCTCCAAATACTAATGTTAATCATAATGAAGAGACTCATTCAAGTGAAAACTGCCCAGAGTCTCAATGAGACTAGTCAAAATGGCTAAAATTCTTGAAGAGCCAAAGTCTTTTAGCTTCCAATTTTCATTGCCAAATAGAACACTATTTTACCTACACATCCTAGTAAAATTCAGTGGCATCACTCAAACCTGTTTCCTTGTAAACCTGTTGTCCTAGGTCCAAGTTGATTTCTCTAAGGACCTGATTATGAATTTACAGACTGCAGAATGCCAAGCAGTGGAAACCATCTGCTATTGTTTTTCCAGAAGAAAATCAAAATCTGTGGATTTAGAATGCACTGAAGATTGGAAATATGATTCCTTAATGTCTTTAGTATCAGGGATTAAATATAGGGATCTCACTTGTGATACACACGTGCTCTAGTACTGGCATTCCCTAGCCTAAATGACCTCTTCTGAATGAAATTTAGGGTGATTATTTAGTAGACATTAATGATGATGATGAAAAATTAGACTTTCTACCTTTTTCAAGGACTTTAGTGCCCTCTACAGGTTATAAAGAGATAATGACTTTAAACGCTGTTACATATTTCCTTTAAAAGTAGAGCTTGCTTTTAATCGCAGTGTAAACCAGTTTATTTACATTGTTAACTTAATTTGCCAGTTTCTTTTTTCTGCTGGTTTTTAATTAATTGTGTTTAATGTGAAGAATGTAAGATCAGTGAATCTTTTAGATCACTTAGCTGGAGCCCTTTAAATATTGGGTCTGTAGAAACACAGATTCACAAAAAGATTGGAAAAACATTTAGTTATTTTGACTTCCACTGCATATTTTGAGACTAGATTGGGAAAACATTTACCTATCTCAAAGTTTGTTGAAGGTTTTAAGACTAGCTTGATTGTATCCTGTTACATTTTTGGAACAGTAAACATTGGAAATATGTCTTGTTGGTTTTTTTTTCCAACATATGTAATATTACATGAGGT